TCTCTCTCTCTCTCTCTCTCTCTCTCTCTCCCTCGCTCTCTCCTGTTCTTCTCTCCCTCCCCTCCCCTCCCCCCCCCTCTCCCACTCGCTCCCCGCTCTCATACACTCTTCCATACCACTACTCTCAGCATCCCTCACCACCCACCCCGCACTCACCCGCTCATCTGCCGGATCTGCCGTCTCCAAGCGCATGTACACCCTCCGGCCCTCCGTCCCTGTCACTGTCACGCACTCGCCAGGGGGCGCTCGCGTCAGCACGCGCCGCCGCTCAACGCCTGCGTCGCACCTGCGGAATGAGACACTAGCGTCATGAACGACGACGAATCGGCATGGCAACGTTACACAAACGATTCAACGGGGAGATTCAAATGCGAATATATTGATTTGAAAAATGAGTGTATAAAGAGATTATAAGTTTAATAACAATAATATTATTAAATAAGTTCATTCGGTTGGTAGACTAATATATATAACAGGGTTAATTGTTACTCAACCGTGAAGATTGGAAACGTACCGCTTACGTTTCGCCTCCTGCCAGGAGGCTTTCTCAAAGCTAACTGATGATTATCAGTTTTGACCACCAGATGGTCAAATGGTCATTTGTCAAAAAGCTTAGCCGATCTACTGGCCCCATTGGTACTTGGTAGGCACCATCGAACATCACATCAAGAACTCAACAGAGCTAGCAGAGAAACTCGAAACTATACGTATGAAACCAGACGAGATATTAGTCTCCCATGACGTTATCTCACTCTTTACCAACTCTCCGATCCCAGAATCGATTAACATACATACAGACAGCTTTTTGCTGCTAATTGTATGCTATGGAGCCTGTGTAATCGACTATAGGTCTATACGGGTTGCCTTCTTTATGTATTTTAGGTGTGCAGTAGATTCTTGGTACATTTTCAGCCGTGGGATACAGGAACTTGTACTGGGCTTCAGTAATTTGTTCTTCTCTTTTCAGACGTTGGAGAATCGCCAATAGTTTGCTTTTATATTTCGTTTTTAGGGTCTTTCTTTAATTTCCCATAGGTCTTTACATCGCTCAACATAGTGTTGACTTGTTTTTCGTAGTCGTCCTTGTCCACCACAACTGTAGCCTTTCCCTTGTCTGCTGGTAGGATCGTGATACTGGGTTCCTTTTTCAGCTTAAATATGGCCGATTTTTCTTCTTTGGTGATATTTGGTTTCGGGGGTTTAGCCATACTCATGGTGTGTGCTATTTTCATTCGTAAATCTTCAGCTTCTGCTGTCGGCATCGAGTGACAAGCTTGTTCTGTGGCTACAATGAATTCCTCCCAGGGGATTTTATTCGGGGTGATGGCGAAATTTAATCCTTTATCTAGGACTGACCGTTCTGCGATTGTCAGTTTATATTTAGAAATATTAACTACCCACTTTTTGAGTTGTGTACCTGTTAGATCGAGTGTTGTGGTCGCAGATCTGTCCTTCAACCCCGAACATCAACCGGGACGAGGGGGGGATACAGGCTTAGTCACGTGTGGACTAAGCTATTGACCACCACACCATCTGGTGGTCAAAACTGATAATCATCAGCTAGCTTTGAGAAAGCCTCCTGGCAGGAGGCGAAACGTAAGCGGTACGTTTCCAATCTTCACGGTTGAGTAACAATTAACCCTGTTAATAGTGTTATATATAATAATAATATTATTATTAGTATTATTATATTATTATTATTACAGCCGCCAAGGGGTTGGCAAGAGGTTATGTTTATAATATAGTTTATAAAGAGAGAGAGAGAGAGGGAGAGAGAGAGAGCGAGAGAGAGAGAGAGAGAGAGAGAGAGAGAGAGAGAGAGAGAGAGAGAGAGAGAGAGAGAGAGAGAGAGAGAGAGAGAGAGAGAGA